GTGGCGGGACGTTCACCTGGAGGCGCTGTCGCCGGTGCTCTGGGAGACCAAGCTTCTTCATGTCCGGTGCAGCGGCAGGTGGGGGGCCTGGGTGGCCCAGAGGGGGGAGCATCGCCCCCCAATTGCCCATTCCTCGCCTATCGGGTCCCGAGCGCCCCAGCCCGCGAAGGGCCGTGCGGTTTCCCCATCGGGGGCCCATCGCCGACCCGTCGGCGATGCATTGCCGATAGTAGTATGATGATGCTGATGACGATGGTGATGATGAGAATGATGACGATGACTGTTGATGGTGGTGATGATGATTGATGGTGATGAAAATGTGCATGATGTGGTGGCTGACGATGTTGTTGTTGCTGGTGGTGCTGTTGATGTTGATTACGATGATAATGGATGATGGTGGATGGTGATAGGGATGATGCGGTGGAGGATGATTGAATGGGGAGGTTGGCTAATGAGTCACGGCAGCGTAGCTCAGTTGCATCCGCTCTGGCTTCGCCCAGTGTGCTCAGGGGACGAGGCTGGATGATGATGATGCTGCTGATGATGACGATGATGTTGATGCTGACGATGATAATGTGGTGATGTGATGATGATGATGATGAAATAATAAGAGGAGTACTAAGAGGATTCTTCATATAATGCCGTTCGATGCTTACTTTGATGATGCTCATGATGGTGATGTCGATGGTGTGGATGATGATTCTGATGATGATGGTGTTTATGATGGTGGTGCAGATGATGATGATGATGATGATGATGATGATGATGATGATGATGATGATGATGATGATGCTGATGCTGATGCTGATGATGATGATGATGCTGCTGATGATGATGATGATGATGATGATACTGATGATGGTGCTGATGGTGCTGATGATGATGATGATGATGATGATGATGATGATGATGATGATGATGATGATGATGATGATGATGATGGTGATGCTGCTGCTGATGATGATGATGCTGCTGATGAGGATGACTATGGTGGTGGTGGTGATGATGCAGGGGATGGTAGTCGTGTTGGTGATGGTGATGGTGATGCCGATAAAGGACACGGAGGGAGGAGGAGAAAGAGGAAGAGAGGGATGATGATGCCTCTCCTTCTCCTCTCTCTCCCCTCTTCACTCACTCTTCGCTCCTGGGGTGCACGTCTCTCCCGAGGTGCTGGCCGAGCTGGCCAATCGCAGCGAGGACGTCGCCCTGGCCCTCAAGTGCTCGCGGGCGGAGGGCCGCTTGCCAAATATTGTCCGGGGAGGTCGGAGGTTTTCCTGGTTGTCACTGGGTGTGCCTGGGACTGTCGGGAGGCTTCTCTGGGCGTCTTCAGAAGTTATCGGAATGGGAAAAGGACGGGGAGGAGGAAGAGGAGGAGGAGGAGGAGGAGGAGGAGGAGGAGGAGGAGGAGGAGGAGGAGCAGGAGTAGGGCTACGTCTGGAGACTTTACTGCCATCAGCGCCTCAGTGCCGCATGAGGAGGAGGTGAAGGTTGAGGAGGAGGAGGAGCGGAGGAGGAACAGTAGGAGGAGGAGGAGACAGGTGGAGGATGTACGTTGAGGAAGACATGAGATGCTGATGATAGGGCGGAGTCGGGTATTCTGGATGTTGCTGATGACGATGGTGTTGAGGATGATGATGAAGACGATGATGAGGACGATGATACCGATGATGACGATGACGATACTACTGCTGCTGCTGCTGCTGCCTCCGATGATGATGATGCTGCTGATAATGATGATGTCCACCATGATGTCGACGGCGGTGAGGTAGCTGACGATGATCAGGATGATCACGACAACGATTCAAACACTTTGCTAAGGATGGTGATACCGCTGATGGTAACACGGTGACAATGGCGACGATGGCAAGGATGATGAGGATGAGGCTTAGGACGCAGATGGTGATGCTGATGATGCTGATGACGACGATGCTCATGATGCTGACGATTATGATGCTGGTGATGACGGTGATGCTGCTGATGCTGATGATGATGACGATGCTAATTTGGAGACTGATGATGCTGATGCTTATGACGATGATGATGGTGATGATTCTGATACTCATGATGATACTGACCACGATGATGATGATGATGATGACGACAATGCCGATGACGACGACGATTGCGATGACGATGACGATGATGATGATGACGATAATTATACTGATGATGATGGTGATGATGATGATTATGATGATTATTGTTGGCGACGGTGATGCTGGTGATGATGATGACGATGACGATGCCTATGATGACGATGATGATGATGATACTGACGGTACTGATGCTGATGATGATTATGTCAATGATGCTGATGATGATTTTTGTTTTGATAACGATGATGTTGCTGTTTATCATGATGATGATGCTGATGACGAGGATGCTGATGGTGATGCTTATGCTGATGATAGTGGTCATCATGATTGATGGAGATGCGGATGATGTGGTGGACGACGATGGTGACGACGATGATGATTACGATTATGAGCGGTGATTATGCTGATGATTATGATGAGTAGGATGAAAATGATGATGCTGAAGATGATGGTGATGATGATGACGATGGTGTTAGTGATGGTGATTTTGATGCTGATGCCGCTGGTTCTGATTTTGATGATGATGAAGACGAAGAACATGACGTTTTCGACGACGATGATTATGATGATTACGACGATTCTGATGCTGATGATGATTCTACAGGCTTACGCCACATCCGCCGACCCCTTCTGTGAGTGTTGCGAGGCCAGGAGTTTCTTGCCAGCGGCGTCTTGTGTAAGGGTGCGGTGTCGCGCGCGGGTGGTGGCAGATACGTAGGGGGTCCAAATGCTTGCGTGATGCCGGTGGTCTGGGGCGTGTTTTGCGAGCGCCTTGCGTGCTGTGCACCCCGGTGCGGGGTGTCCTTCTGGGAGGTCGGCCTTTCGACCCGCAACCAAGTGGAGGACCACCGGAAGACGAAAGGAGCAAGAGTAGCTTGCGGAAGCTGTGATCAGCGAGGTATCACCGCGAAAGATGTGGCAGACGAGTCGAAACGGGTGAAGAGGCTGTTGACGTTCGCAGCGCGCACGAAACAGTTCGCGCGGCAGCAGCACAGTAGCGCCGAGCAAGATAGTGAGCACGTCGCGAGGAAGAAAGAGCAAGGCTGTATGCGCGGAGTGCATTGCAGTTGGCTTGACGGCTCGCAGTACGGAAGCGTCTGGGGGTCTTTTGGGGGCCTCCTGGGGGCCTCTTGGGGGCTCCTTGGGGCGTCTTGGCGGCCTCTTGGGGGCCTCTGGGGGCCTCTTGGGGGCTCCTTGGGGCCCCCTGGGGCTCGTGGGGGCGGAAAGCTAGATTTTTGAATTTTTGGTTGCCCTCTTGGGCACCTCTTGGTGCCGTCTTGGAGCATTCTTGGGCCGTTATGGGGACCTTTTGGGCCGTCTTGGGGCCATCTTGGGCCGTCGTGGGGCCGTCTTGGGGGCCTCTTGGGCCGTCTTGGGGTGGTCTTCGGGGCCTCTTGGGCCGTCTTGGAGCGCCGGAAAGCCCACGAGGCGAATTTGTGAAACATATACGTTTTACGCAGGAGATGCGCAATTTTGACCCTCTTGGGGCGCATCTTGGAGACCCCTTGGGGGCGTCTTGGGCCAGCTGGAGGCCATCTCGGGTGTCTTCGATCGCTCTTGGACCGTGTGGGACCATATTGAGCTCTCTTGGAAGCCACTTGGAGCGCTCCTGGAGCGCTCTTGGGGCCGTCTTCGGGGCCCTCTTGGGCCGTCTTCGGCGCCTCTTGAGCCGTCTTGGCGCCCTCTTGGGCTGTCTTGGGGCCCTCTTGGAGGCTTCTTGGACCGTCTTGGTGCGGTCTTGAGGGCCTCTTGGGCCGTCTGGGAGCGTCGGAAAGCCCAAAAGGCGAATTTGTGAAACATATACGTTTTACGAAAGGAACGGGCCAACATTTTGCGTCTAGAGGCCCTCTTGGGGCGCATCTTGGATGCCTCTTGGGGCCTCCTGGGGGCATCTTGGGCCGTCTGGAGGCCATCTTCGGTGTCTCTGATCGCTCTTGGACCGTCTGGGGCCATATTGAGTTCTCTTGGAGGCCACTTGGAGCGCTCCTGGAGCGCTCTTGGGGCCGTCTTCGGGGCCCTCTTGGGCCGTCTTGGACGCCTGTTGGGCCGTCTTGGGGCCCTCTTGGGCTATCTTGGGACCCTCTTGGAGGCTTCTTGGGCCGTCTTGGGGCGGTCTTGGGGCCAGAAGGCGAATTTGTGAAACATGTGCGTTTTACGAAGGGAAGGGGCCAATTTTTGCGTTAAGGGACCCTCTTGGGACGCATGTTGGAGGCCTTTTGGGGCCTCGTGGGGGCCTCTTGGCCCGTCGAAGAGGCCTCTGAGCCCGTCTTTGGGCCATCTTGGGCGTCTTGGAACGCTCGTTTGGCGTCTCGGGGCCCTCGTGGGCTGTCTTGGAGGCCTCCTGGGGCCTTCTTGGACTGTCGTGTGGGCCCGTTTTTTGCGTTGTTGGCTCGTTTTGTGACCTTCTGCTCCCCCATGGCGCGTTCGGTCCTGTGTGCCCCGGGGCCGGGGGGGGGGTCGAATCTCCGGTTTGGGGTCCCTGGGGGGGGTTATGGGGGGGGAACTATCTCACACGCCTAGAGACCCACAAGGGGTCGGCGGATTGTGTTGATGATGAGGACGAATATGAAAATGAGGATGATGATTATGATGATGTTGGTGATGACGACGACGATGGTGATGATGAAACTGATGGTGCTGATGATGCTGATGCTGATGAGGATGACGATGCTGATGCTTATGCTGCTGCTTATGATGATGAGATGATTGTGATGATGATGATGCTGATGATGATGATGATGATGATTCTGATGATGATGATGATGGGTGGTGGTTGATGGTAGTGATGATGATTGGGCGCAGGGTGATTGAGGTGGAGGGCAGCTGGTGAGTCACGGCAGCGTAGCTTAGTGGCATCCGCTCCAGCTTCGCCCAGTGTGCCCAGGAGGGGGGGTCGAAACCCGGTACACTTCAGGACGAACAGCCCCGCACGTAGTTCGCTTGTGGCAAGGCTCGCGGTGCCCTGCGTGCCACTTCCATCCCCTTCCCTCCTTCCCTCCTCTGCCCTCTTCCCTCTTCCCTCCTCCCCCTCCCCTCCGCCGTCGAAGCTGGAGGACCCGCGGCGGCGCGCGGAGCGCGCTGCCGCCGTGAGACACGCGGCGGTTGATTTTTCAGCTGCGTGCACCTTGTGAAAGCTGAACCTTGTCGCCCAGGCACGGCCTGGGGTGGGGGACGGTTTGTTTCGTCGCCACGGTGCGTGTTCCGCAGCCTTGGTGATCAGGGCAGCGATATCCAGCGAAATTCCTCTGCCCTGTCCCCTTCCTTTCTCCTTCTTCCCTCCTCTCTCTTCCCTCTCCTCGCTCTTCCCGTTTACCTCTTCCCGTCTTTCCCCTCCCCCCCCCGTCTCTCCCCCTCCCCCGCAGGCGCGGGCAGGGGGGGGGCCGGGGCCAAAGGGGGGGGGGGCGGGGGATGGGGGGAGGGAAGGGTCTCCCCCTGCTCCCATTTCTCCCCCGCCACCCCCGTCCTCTTTTTTCTCCCCCGCCTCCTTCGCCTCCCTTGTCCTCCTCGGTCTCCCTCCTCCTCCTCCTCCTCCTTCTCCCCCTCCTCCTCCTCCTCCTCTCCTCCTCCTCCTCCTCCTCCTCCTCCTCTCTCCTCTTCCTCCTCCTCTCTCTTCCCCCCCCTCCTCCTCCTCCTCCTCCTCCTCCTCCTCTTCCTCTTCCTCCCTTCTCCTCGCCTCCCGTTTCTCCCTCCTCCCCCCTCCTCTTCCCTCTTCCTCCTCCTCTTCCTCCTCCTCCTCCTTCTCCTCCGCTTCCGTCTTTCCTCCTCCCACCTTTTCCTCCCTCCTCGTAACTCCTGCTCTTGTCGTCGCTCTCCTGCTCCTCCTCCCCCTGCTCCTGCTCCTCCTCCTCCACCTCCCTCTCCTCGGCTTCCCCCCTCTTCCCCCTTTTTCCCGCTTCTGCTTCTCTAGGCCCCCCGTCGGCGGTTTGCGCCCGAGGCGGTCTACGCCCAGGACGCGGGCACCCTGCGGTGGGCGAGTGCGGAGGTGGCGAGGGCAGGCCCTCCTCGGCGGCGGTCATCGGCGGCCTCGTCGTCGTCGTCGTCGTCGCCGTCGTCGTCCTCGTCGTCGTCGTCGTCGTCGTCGTCGTCGTCGTTGTCGTCGTCGTCGTCGTCGTCGTCGTCGTCGTCGACATCGTCGTCGTCGTCGTCGTCTTTCATTTGTTCTCTTCTAATCTCGTCTCTTCTCGTCTTTTCTCATCTCTCTTCTTCTCTTCTCTTCTCATCTCTTCCTCCTCTCCCTTCTCTTCTCTTCTCTTCTCTTCTCTTCTGTTTTGTTCTCGTCTTTTATCTTTTCATTTGTTCTATTATATTATCTCCTGTTCTCTTCTCTTTTCTTTTGTTCTCGTCTCTTCTCTTATATCCTTTCCCTTCTTTCTATTATGTCAATATTTCTTTTTGTTTTTCGTCGTCCTCCCTTTCGTTTTAAAATACAGTGGTTGCCAACGCCGTTCAATTTGGGAGTATGGGAAGCTTTGGGAAATGTCTTGGTGCATTGAGTACATGCGCGTTGCAGCATGCGCTGGCCCGTCCTTGGGTCGGCCAACACCGTGAAGGTACTCGTCCCCATTTTGCCGACTCCAGCTTCCCCCGCTACGACTCCAGCCTTCGTGTTTCGACTTTTGGCCGCCTGTGCCTCCACCATGTTATGCTGTTTTTACATATCCAGCGCCATTCTCACACTTGTATTCGTGTCTCTGGTTCGGGGTCCTACTCTCTCGCTCCAGCCAGTCATCACCTCTCCGACTCCAGCTTTCGTGTTTCCCACTCTGGCTTCCACTGTCCTGACTCTAGCCCCAACTGCTCCGACTACGGCAGTTGTTTGCTCAAGTCCAATACCGCAGTCCTGATTCCGATTACTTTTCCCTTTATTTCGGCTCCAGCTCCAAATTTCCAGCTCCGGCTCCTATGTGATTCCGGTCCCCATTTCGCCGACTTTGGTTCCCGCTGTTCCGATTCTTATTGGCGTCTATCCAATTCCAGCACCCGTATTCGTTTCTCCGGTTTTAGCTCCCACCTCTCCGACTCCAGCTGCTCACTTGTGACTCCGGCTTACATCTTTCCAAGTCTGGCCCCCATCGCTCCGACTCCAGCTCCAGCTCCGACTCTTGCTCATGTGTGTCCAGTTCCAGCACCCGATTACAGCGCCCATTTTCTCCGACCTTGTCTCCTATCCCGACTCCTGCTCTCGTCGTTCTGGCTTCAGTCTTATGTCTCCGACTCCAGCTCTTCTGCTCTGATTCTGACACTCGTGGTCAGAAGTGGTATGGGATCAGCAGTGGTAGGAACATCATCCAGTATAAAATCTTTTGTGTAATGCAGCCGATGCGTCTGGCATCCGTCTTTGCGGCTCTGGCGCCCGCTTCCTCGCCAGCTGCGGCGTTTTGTTGTTGTTGTTGTTGTTGTTGTTGTTGTTGTTGTTGTTGTTGTTGTTGTTGTTGTTGTTGTTGTTGTTGTTGTTGTTGTTTTTGAACTCTCACTTCTGAAGAATAATTATTATTGTTTTTCGGTTGAAGTGCCCGTCCCGGGGGTCGCACCCTGTTTTTCTATCAGGGAAAATCTTGCGGGTCAAACTGTGTTGTTGGCCCCCGGTTTGCAACAACAACGGCTCCCGCCTGATACGTCCTCACAATTTATGGAAGAATCGCGCTTTCGCTTGGGATATCCTTGCAATTTTCCGCCGGATCGCGGCTCCCGCTTGATACCTCCTCACAATTTATTGAAGAATCGCGCTCTCGCTTGGGACTTCTTCGGAACTTACCACCGAATCGGGGCTCCCGCTTGATATTTCCTAACAATTTATTCAGATGCCGCTCCTCGACACTCAGGAATCGCGCTCCCGCTACATATTGCCTGGCGTTTCAAGCAGAATCTACGCTTCAACGACCCGCCCGCTCGACCCGCCCGTCTGGGCCTGCCCGCCCGACCAGCCCGTTAGGGACTGCAGTCGCCGCTCGCTGCCCTTCGCCCCTCTTCGATGCCCCTCGCTGCCCGTACTGGTTCCGCGGTCGCCTTTGCTCGCTGCCTTTCGTGGCCCCGTTGCTGCCCTCAGTGGCCCCGTCGCTGCCCATTGTGGCCCCGCATTATATGCCTTTCGTGGCCCCCGCTCGCAGTCGCCCGTCGTGGTCCCATACGCATGCCCTTCGTAGCCCCGCTGTCGCCCTTCGTGGGCTGCCCTTCGTGACCCCTTTGCTGCCCTCAGTGGCCCCGCTGTCGCCCTTTGTGTCCGCATATGCGAATGCTCTTCGTGGCCCCCGCTCGCAGTCGCCCGTCGTGGCCCCATACGCATGCCGTTCGTAGCCCCGCTGTCGCCCTTCGTGGCCCCCTCTCAGCCTTTCGTTGCCCCGTTTCTGCCCTCAGCGGCCCCGTCGCTGCCTTCTGTGGCCCCGGATTAATTGCCCTTCGTGGCCCCCGCTCGCTCGCGCCTTTCGTGATCCCATACGCATGCGTTTCGTCGCCCCACTGTCGCCATTCGTGGCACCCTCGCTGCCCTTCGTGGCCCACTTTCTGCGCTCAGTGGCCCCGCTGTCGCTCTTTCTGGTCCCATATATGTATGCCCTTCGTGGCCCCCGCTCGTTCGCGCCCGTCGTGGCCCCATATGCGTGCCCTTCGTGGCCCCGCTGTCGCTCTTCGCGGTCCCCTCTCTGCCCTTCGTGCCCCCATGTCTGCCCTCAGCGGCTCCGTCGCTGCTCTGTGCGGCCCCCCATACGTATGCCCTTCAGGGCCCCCGCTCATTCGCGCCCGTCGTGGCCCGCGCCAGCAACGGCTCCCGCCTGAGACCCTACTCTTGTCCACTCCATCCCAATCCCCTCCACATCCCCGCGCTCCTCTCGACACGGTTGCAGTTCTCATTATCTTTCCGCCCCACTCTCCCAACATCCCGCTGCTTTTCAGGGTTCCACGAAATTTGTTTCTGACACCAGTTCGCAGCTGTACTTTCCCCCGTCGGGGTATCCAGGATATGTTCTTTCAAGGGGTTGGTACGTGGCGCTGTTGATGGCACGACCCATGGCGAAACTTACCGCCCCCCCCCCTTCCCCCCCCCAGGTTGCCAGCCCGGCGGCGGCGCAGGCCGCGCGAGGGAGGCGGCCGCCGCTTCAGCTGTCGCACGCGCCGCGGGGTCCGCCGTGGTGGTGGTGGTGGTCGTGGTCCTGGTTGTGGTCGTGGTCGTGGTCGCCGTCGTCGTCGTCGCCGCCGCCGTCGTCCTTGTTGTCGTCGTCGTCGTCGTCGTCGTCGTCGTCGTCGTCGTCGTGGTCGTCGTCGTGGTCGTGGTCGTCGTCGTCGTCGTGGTCGTGGCCGTGGTGGTGGTCGTCGTCGTGATCGTGGTCGTGGTCGTGGTCGTGGTCGCCGTCGCCGTCGCCGTCGCCGTTGTCGTCGTGGACGTCGTCTTCTTCGTCGTCTTCGTCTTCGTCGTCGTTCCCGTCGTCGTAGTCGTCGTGTTCACCGTCGTCGTGGTGTTCTTTGTCGTTGTCATCGCTCCCGTCGTCGTAATCGTAATTGTATGTAATCGTATTCGTCGTCGTCGTCGTCGTCGTCCTAGGAACAGGAAGGGGAGGAGCAAGAGGAGGAGAAGGAGGAGGAGGAGGAGGAGGACGAGGACGAGGAGGAGGAGGAGGAAGACGAGGACGAGGACGAAGAGAAGGGGAAGGAGGAGAAAGGAAGGGAAGAGTCAGGGAGGGAGGGAGGGGGAGCAGGGAAGGACGAGAAAGGGCGGACGGATGGGAAATTGAGTGGCGTGGCCCTTTTGATGAATCCACCTGGAGGCTGCGATGAGCAGGCACGTTTTTCTGAAAGCTCAGGGGGCCAACGTCTGACGACAGTGCCCTGCATGAAGGCGATCCGCATCAGGGGCGGGGGGGGCTTATGAAGCAAATGGGAAAAATCCAGCTGTCTGCGGCGGGCCTCGGCGCCGCGCCAACGCAACAGCGCAGCAGGAACGAGGTTGAGCTTGAGACCCGCCCCAGTGCAGGGCCTTGTTTGAGCCTGCGCCAGTCTTGAACACCCCCTCTTCGCCTGCAGCCTCGTTCTCCTTTTCCTTCCCGGTTCGTCCTCCTCCTCCTCCTCCTCCTCCTCCTCCTCCTCCTCCTCTTCCTCCTCCTCCCCCCCTCCCCCTCCCCGTCCCCCTCACCCCCCTCCTCCCCCTCCTCATCGCCCCTCTTTCTCCTCTTCCTTCCCCGATCGTTCCTCGGACGCTTGCGGAGGGCTCCCATGGGCCTCTCGAGGGGCTCCTGGGCCCCCTTGGGGGACGCTCGGGGGCCCGAAGGGGCCTGTCGGGGCGCACGGTGCTGTCCTGGGTGCGGTGGTTCCACAGAGCCATTCCGATTGTAGTCTTAAGTCGGGCATGTCGCTCCACAGGAGGAATGTCCCAGAATAGTCAAAAGATAGTCTGGGCCTGTAGGAGGACACGCCCGACCTGATCGTAGTCGATCTTGAACCATTCTGGGAAGGCCTGTCACGCGGATCACACGCGCACGCGTCGAACACGTGCGACAATCAGCGCGCGCCCGCCAAGTCTTTCCACAGCCCCCTGTGGTTATGTGTGCGAAGTAAGAGCCTTAAATTAGTCATCAGCCTCGCCCTTTTCTTGGTATGATCAACCGAAGAACCTTATTTCTCTTCGCTTCTGTGGGGCACACAGGGGGCCACACGCGCGCCCCTCCGGGCCCACAGGGGGCCCCTGCGGGCCACACGCTCGCCCCTCCGCGCGCGCACGTCGAAATCATCTTTGCCTCCGCGGGCCGTGCCGCAGGCGCAGAGCGGTGCAGTCCAGGCCGCTCGCCAGCGGTCGGGGTCCTCCGGGGGGCGCCCAGGGCGTGCCGGGGGGCGTGCTCTGTCCAAGACGCAGGCGCAGCAGAGCGGCGCGCAGGGGTGCTCGTGGGGGCGTCCGGCCCATGTGGGCACAGAGGTGCTCCGACGCGTGCGACAGCCCTGCGTCCACGCGCCACTCGAGATTTGCGGGCAGGTTCCGACGGGCAGATGCATCCACGGCCCGCGTGAGTTCTGCCGAGAGGTTGCGGGTGGGTGGGTCGGATGCTTGCTCGAGCACGGGAGGTGGCCACGCGCGGTGCAGGTCAAAGCGGTTGTACCACGCAGACTGACTGCACACTGCACCGCAGGGATAGCGCTGCGTGGGCTGCACGACCTAGAGTGCACCGCGTGTATTGCGCTGTGTCTATTGGGCCGCGTAGTTTTTTTTTTTTTTTTTTTTTTTTTTTTTTTTTTTTTTTTTTTTTTTTTTTTTTTTTTTTTTTTTTTTTTTTTTTTTTTGTTTTTTTTTTTGTTGTAAAAACACATCGAAAAGGATCACCCCTTTCGGATATGTAAATCATGTATGATTCTGACCACATGTCCATCCTAATTATGAGTTTACACTAGCCCAGGCCAGCCGGGTTCCCCCCCTGCGGTTCCCTTGTGCAAAAAAAACAATATGCGGTGACATTATTTGTTCTAACATAACACTTTTTCGCGAATCCCTTGCAAAACAAATTGGACGAAGTGCACACGCGCGCGTCGTCGCGCGCGCATGCCGAAATCCTCCAAAAACCTTCGGTGCTGGAAGGATTTCGCAATCGAGTTTCCAAAACACATGCAAAAACACAGGGTTTCGCAACACTGATTTGCTAACAAAGCTTCCGCGCGAGCTCTTGCGAAATCTTACGAAAACCATAGGTTTTTCAATATCTTCACAACATGCTATTAACGGGCTTCGCGCGCGCATGTCGAAATCTGTCGAACGCCCTTGCGCGTGTGCCGTCGCGAGAATCCTCTGCAAAAAACGGGACGAAATGCAGACGCGCGCGTCGTCGCGCGCGTATGCCGAAAACCTTCAAAACCCATCGGTTTCGGAAGGATTTCAAAATCGTGTGTCCAAACAACCTACAAAAACCCAAGGTTTCGCAACGCGGATTTTCGCGCGCGCGTTCTTGCGTCGTCGTCATCGTCGTCGTCGTCGCCGTCCTCCCTCCTCCCGCGTCGTCGTCGTCGTCGTCGCCTACGTCGTCCTGTCTTTCCTCGTGTTCGTCGTCGTCGTCCTCTTTGGCGTCGTGGTCGTTTCCGTCGTCGTTGTCGCCGTGGTCGTCCTTCCTCCTCCTCCCTCGTCGTCGTCGTCGTCCGTCGTCGGCGTCTCGTCGTCGTCCCTCCTATTTCGTCGCCGTCGTCGTCGTCGTCGTTGTCGTCGTCGTCTTCCCTCCTCCCTCGTCGTTGTCGTCGTCGGCGTCGCCGTCCTTCCTCCTTCTTCGTCGTTCGCGTCGTCGCCGTCCTCCCTCCTCCCTCGTCGTTGTCGTCGTTGACGTCGTTGTCGTCGTTGTCGTCGTCGTCGTCCTTCCTCCTCCCTCGTCGTCGCCTTCGTTGGCGTCGTCGTCGTCGTCTTCGTCGTCGTCGGCGTCGGCGTCGTTGTCGTCGTCGAAGTCGTCGGAGACGTCGTCGGTGTCGTCGTAGTGGTTGTCGTCGGTGTCGTCGCAGTCGGTCGTAAGAGGTTTAGCAAACCAAGTTGCGGGTGGGTGGGTGGGATGTTTGCGCGAGCAGTGGAGATGACGACTTCAAGTTCAGCAGAGTGGCTTTCACCACATAGTTTGCACCAGTGACCCTGCACCACATAGAGTGCTCCACATAGATTGAACCACGCAGACTGCCGTTTTTTTATATATATATATATATATATAGCACCCCGCAATTGCGGATAAGAGTGAGGGGGCGGGCGCGGGCGACGCGGGCGTTGTCGAGCCGGCGGACCTCGTGGCCCCCACCTTCCCTGTCGATGGCGATCTTCTCCTCCTCCTCCTCCTCCTCCTCCTCCTCCTCCTCCTCCTCCTCCTCCTCCTCCTCCTCCATCGTTCTTCCTCGTCCTCCCTCTCCCCCCCTCGTCCTTTCATCATCGTCCTCCCATCGTCGTCCTCCCCCTCATCGGCCTCCATCATCGTCCTCCCATTGTCGTCCATCATCATCATCCTCCCCCTCCTCCCCCTCCTCGTCCTCCTCCTTCCCCTCCTCCCCCTCCTCCCCCTCCTCCCCCTCCTCGTCCTCCTGCTCCTCTTCCTTTTCTCTCTCCACATTATCCTGACATCCTCTCTTCTGCCGCGTTCTCCTCGTCCCCTGTTTACTCCTCCTGCCTCCCCCTCCTTTCCCAAGATAACTGCAACGCGTTTTTTTTTTTTTTTTTTTTTTTTTTTTTTTTTTTTTTTTTTTTTTTTTTTTTTTTTTTTTTTTTTTTTTTTTTTTTTTTTTTTTTTTTTTTTTTTTTTTCTTTTTTTTCCCCCCCCACTATGCTTCCCGCCTTCTCTGATCAAGGCAACTCGCCAGGGCAAAGTTGCTGGACGGGCTGGTGTGGATGCGCGGGGCTTGAAGAGGTCCTTGCGGGGGGCTCAGACGGCATGCGAAAATCCGCCGCCGCGTTTGTGCGGCATTGGTTTGTTCAGTGAACGTGGTTTAGGTCGCGGGTGGGTCGCGGGCTCTCCACCTCCACCTGGAAGGAATGCAAAAGCACCCCGCCGCAGGCGCCAACAAAAATTGGTTTGCACACTGAACGTGGTTTGGGTCGCGGGTGGGCCGCGGGTTCTCCACCGGGAACGAATGCAAAAGATGCCCGCCGCAGGCGCCGAAACATGTAGTTTGTACCCTGAACGTGGTCGCGGATGGCCCGCGGGCTCTCCGCCTGAAGCGAATGCAAAAGATGCCCGCCGCAGGCGCCGAAAAATGTGGTTTGTACCCTGAACGTGGTTTGGATCGCGGGTTGGTCGCGAGTTGGTCACGGGGTGGGTCGCGGGCTCTCCACCTGGATGGGATGCAAGAAAGCCCGCCGCAGGCGCCGAAAATGGTGGTTTGTACCTTCAACGTGGTGGGTTGGGTCGCGGGTGGGTCGCGGGTGGGTGGGTCGCGGGTGGGTCGCGGGTGGGTCGCGGGGTGGGTCGCGGGTGGGTCGCGGGTGGGTCGCGGGTGGGTCGCGGGGTGGGGGTCGGGGTGGGTCGCGGGGTGGGTGGGTCGCGGGTGGGTCGCGGGTGGGTCGCGGTGGGTCGCGGGGGTCGGGTGGGTCGCGGGGTGGTCGCGGGGTGGGTCGGGGTGGGTCGCGCGGGGTGGGTCGCGGGGTGGG